TTAAAGAGGGGTCTTTTGTGCAGGCACACATCCCTCCTTCCTGCTCCACTGTGAACTCTCTGGAATCTTAGTTTCTTAGGGTCCCTGGAACCTTAGTTCCTTGGTTGCTCCCCTCCTCCCACTTACATCATGGTTTCGATGGGGAAGCACCAAGGAGAGGAGAGGCATTTGTAGTCTTCTAGAAAGCTCTGGAAATCTTTTTCATGGCTGGCCAGTTTATGTGCATTGTACAATATGTGCATACACAGAAAACCACTCAATGAACAACAGTTTCAGGTAGGTTCAACTCTGTTTTCTCTTTGGCTACTACAAAACAAAAGGATTTTGTTCCTATTTCTCCTATTATGTTGTATATCAAAAAGTTAATATTAAAATGCCTGAGGTGTACTATGAAATGTAACTGGAATTCTGTAAAATAGGTATCCAATTCCCAGCACCCCCCCCCCCGAGGATACAAGACAATTGTATGGGTTCAACTAGTTTTATTTTTTAAAATGGGGGAGACCCCTGCTTTCTCCCTTTAAAAAGCCCCCCCTTCTCCTCACCATGAAAGCCACCAAAACAGCTAAGTGGCAGGAGCAGGTTGCTCCTGGCCAATGAGCTGTTTAGATTGGAAATAGCTAAGCCATGGGGACAGACTGTTCCCATGGCTCAGCTGTTTAAAGGGGCTTTCTTGGGCAGCCAGTCCCTGGGGCTCACTGCCCATAAAAGCCCCAGACCGATTTCCCACGGCTGCTGCTCTGCACTCGGTCCTCTCTTTGCCCCGATGGTACATGTCAATTTCCCACTCAAAGGCGCCCAGCTGCATTTTGACCCGCAGCTTCGTAATTCTCAAAAAACAGGATGTAATTCCAGTACATGGCTCCTAACTTGAAATCAGTGCAAGGTATGGAGCAAATAGTTAGGGAAAAAATCACCAAAGAATGTACGGAGGGCAGAGTCCTTTCCCCCCAGTTAGCAATTTGAGGGTTTCCCCATTGGGAGTTGTGCTGAAGAAGGCACCTGGAGAATATCACCTCATTTCACCACTTGTCTTACCCACGTGGGGAGTCAGTGAATGACGCAATACCTAAGGAGTTGTGTTCTGTCAAGTACACCTCCTTTGATCAGGCCCTGCGGGTGGTGCGCAGCTGTGGACAGGGAGTGGAATTGGCAAAATGTGACATTAAGTCAGCCTTCTGCCTCCTTCCTGTCCACCCAGCCTACGTCGAGCTCCTGGGATTTGCTTTTGATGGCAAATTCTACATGGATTCTACATCCCTTCCAATGGGATGTTCAGTATCCTGTGCTGCTTTTGAGAGGTTCAGTTCCTTTTTGGAATGGGCCTTGTGGTACAGGACAGGTCTCAGCAGTACTGCCCATTACCTTGATGATTTTTTATTGGCAGGAAAGAGGGGGACGGGTCAATGTGCCTTTTTGCTGTCCAGTTTCATCAATCTGGCAAGGGAGCTGGGAGTTCCTCTTGCTCAGGAGAAAACCAAAAGCCCATCCCCTATTTTGACTTTCCTGGGAATAGAAATTGACACGGTGGGGCAGTTCTGCAGATTGCGTGTGGATAAATTAACTGCGCTGCAGACATTAATAGACACAGCTAGGGAAAAGAACAAAATAACCTTGCTGGAGTTGCAGCAGTTGGTTAGTCACCTCAACTTTGCATGCAAAGTTGTGGCACCTGGCAGGGCTTTTTTAAGGAGACTTTGTGCCTCTATGAGGGGTCTACATCTCACCCATCATAGGACTAGGGTTACCAGGGGGATACGGGACAACCTCCTTGTATGGAAGCAATTCTGGGGTTCATACAATGGGGTTTCCTTTTGGCAGGAAGACCTCCTGGTCGAGGTGGAGCTGCAAGTTGCATCTGATGCTGCATGTTCCTCAGGCTATGGAGTATATTTCTGGGGGCACTGGTGTGCTGGGGACTGGCCTGAGGAATGGTTTCAGGCAGGATGGGTTAAAGACCTCACCTTCCTGGAATTTTTTCCGATTGTCGCAGCAGTGTGGATTTGATCATGGGAGTTTGCCAACCACACCGTCCACTTCTGGTGCAACAACATGTCCACAGTACACGTAATCAACTCCTTGACGTCCAAGTCCCCCAGGGTCATAGCTCTGGTCAGAGCCTTCACTCTGCAGTGTTTACACAATAATATAATGTTCAAGGCTAGGCATGTGCCGGGAAACAGATAGAGAGATTCCGTCAGCTGGCTCCGGAAGCCGACCAATTCCCAGTGCATATGCCAGCCAAGGTGTGGCAGATTGGCGGGCTGAGGTCGATAGGGCAATGAGCCTGGCTCTTGCTCCTTCCATACGCAGAGCTTATTTGAGGGCGGGTAAGCAGTTCCTGTCCTTCAGGGAGGGAGCATACCTGTTCCTAATTTAATGCATTTCTGTGTTAAGTTAAGAGCTGAAGGCCTGTCAACTTGTTCCATCAGGGCCAAATTGTCTGCACTGGCCTATACCAGCAAGGCTTCTGGGCATGACAACAAGACGGGTGATTTCCGTATCTGGAAGATGCTCGAGGGCTGGTCCAGGGAGCGTGGCATGGTAGCTGACACTAGAGAGCCTTTGACCCCAGCAATATTGAAGGGACTCAGGAATCAGTGGCACACATTGTGCATGGATGGCTATGAAGTTGCCTTGTTTCACGCTGCATCACTGGTTGCCTTTTTTGGGGCATTGCGGATCAGCGAGCTGGTGGCTGGCTCACGGCAGGATGTATCAGGCCTAGCACTTGAACAGTGGGACGTTTCCATTTCAGACTCCAAAGTGGGAATTAGGCTACGCCGGTCAAAGACTGACCAGCGCGGCAAGGGGAAGGTTATAGAGCTCGACCAATGTTCAGAAGTTGAGTTATGCCCAGTTGAGGCTTTGAGCCATTACTTGGCCCTTGAGAGGAGAGGGCAGGGGTTACCTATTCCGACACAGGGATGGCACTCCCCTCACTAAATTTCAATTTTGGAGCCTGACTCAGAAGGCATTAGCCTGCTTGGGATTGGGTGGGGTTTGCTTTGGAACTCTCTCTTTCCGGATAGGGGCTGCTTCAACGGCGGTGGCCTTCAAGTATATGGGCAGTGAGATTCAGTGAATAGGTCACTGGAAGTCATGCTGCTACAAGGGTTACATCCGGAATTCCATTGTTTAAATATCCCATAAGGTTAGCTGATTTATTAATAATATTCTTTTTACAGATGCTGCAGGCCGTGGGACGAGACGAAGGGTTACTGTCTGCGGTCACAGCATGGTCTTCTGGGCAGCTCATCAGGCCAGCAGCTCTCAGCTTGGCCTTAGTGCATGGGCGGAAGTGGAATGGTTGGGGAGGAGGGGCATGCGATGGCCTGCGCTCCTTCCCCTGCTGTTTGATGGGAGGAAGGGGCCTCCTCCTCATGTCCTGGTAATACACTTAGGGGGCAATGACCTGGATCTATTGAAGGGCAAAGCCCTTGTGTTACAGGCTGAGGCCGACCTTGTGTGGATAAGAGCAAGGTGGCCCAGTGCGAAGATAGTATGGTCAGCCATACTGCCCCACCAGGTGTGGCGGAACTTGGAGGACCCCAGGTGTATTGACCGCGCCAGGCGTAAAGTTAACAGGAAGCTGAGAAAGGCCATGGGTGCTGGATTGGGCATGTTTTTGCTGCACCCCGATATACGGGTCGTGTTCCCAGACCTGTATAGGGCTGATGGGATGCATTTGTCTGACAAGGGCAATGGGATATTTTTACAGGACTTGCAGCAAGGGATTAGGTCAGCATTAGGATGCTGAGTGGGGAGCAAAGGCCAAAGCAGAGGCTTGGCCTTGGCTGTGGCAGGGTTGTGCAAGCAAGAAAACAGAACTGGTGAGCACCTTATGGCATATCCCGTTAGGGAACAGGGGGTCAGGGGTGTCGAACTCTAGTCCTGAAGATCTGGACTGGGCATTACAGGCAATGGCTGGTTGGCTCAGGCTGAGTTGGCCGAAACTGAATCCAGTGAAGATGGAGGTCTTGTGCATGGGTGAGACCCCACTCCTGACCTTCAGTGGGGCACCACTGGTACCAGTGCCAGAGGTTAGGAGCCTGGGAGTGCTCCTGGACTCCTTCTTAACAATGGAAGCCCAGGTAGCAGCTGCTGCCAAATCAGCTTTTTATCATCTTCGGCTGATTAGGCAGTTGGTTCCCTTCCTCAACTGCAATGACCTCGCCACAGTGATCCATGCGGCAGTCACCTCGAGACTAGACTACTGTAACCCTCTCTACATGGGGCTGTCCTTGTCACAAATTCAGAGGCTGCAGCTAGTGCAGAATGCTGCGGCCAGGCTGCTGATGGGCTTACCTAGATGGGAGCACATCCAGCCTGTGCTGAAGGCTCTGCATTGGCTGCCAATAGCATACCTAATCCATTTCAAGGTGCTGGTGCTTACCTTTAAAGCCCTATATGGCCAGGATCCAACATACCAGAGGGATTACTTTCCCCACATATACCCCAGAGAGCACTGAGGTCGGGGTCACAGAACCGGTTGACCCTCCCGGGTCCCAAGTAGGCCAGACTCGCTTTCTCAGTGGTGGCTCCTTACTGGTGGAACAAGCTCCCAAAGGAGATCAGGCCCCTGTGGGATCTACTGCAGTTCCGCAGGGCCTGCAAGATGGAGCTCTTTCACCAGGCCTTCAATTAGAAGCTGCTCCACCATTACCATCAATGAGCCTGGCCCTCAGTTTTTTCATATGGCTCACTCTGTCGAGTGACTCGGGACGACATTGAGCCGGAACTCAGCAGCTGTAGACATCTTAATATGTCATCTTAATATACAAGTAATGAACTATACAACTAATAGCACCTTATGGTTTTTATGCTTTTATCTGTATTGTATTGTTGTATATTCTTTTATTGGTTTTACTGGCAATTGGTGCCATCGCTGTAAGCCACCCTGAGCCCGCTTATGGGGAGGATGGGGTATAAATGTAAATAACAACAACAACAACAACAACAACAACAAAGAGCTTATTCCAGAGAGCACAACAGTTTACCTGTTGCAGGTCTGTGGACTGTTCCTTTTTCTTCATCCCCACAGCAGATCAAGTCTTTGCTTACAATTTCTCCACCACAGCACTGGTGACTGAAGCCATCATGAAGTGATCTACCACAACATATTTGGTTCCCTGATGTGGAGTAAGGAGTCCCCTGGCAGCAGGATTCCCCAATGCCAACAGAGATCTGTTCTTTATTTTGGCAGCATACTTCTCCTGAGGATACAGACATAACATGGGAATTTTGTTGAAGAAGATATTATGTAGATTTCACAGCCTATTATTTTATTGTTGGTAATTGTAATAGAAGATTTATTATTATTATTATTATTATTATTATTATTATTATTATTATTATTATTATTATTATTATTATTAAAACATAGCAATATAGATACGTATAATATAGCATAACTAACAAATTCCCAACCTGAGAAGTCTGTAAGCTAATTTTTGACTGTGGGAATGAGATATATATGGCTTTTTTGTAGCAGGAACTCCTTTGCATATTAGGCGACACGCCCCTAATGTAGCCAATCCTCCAAGAGCTTACAGAGATCTTCTTACAGGGGCTACTGTAAGCTCTTGGAGGATTGGCTATATTAGGGGTGTGTCGCTTAATATGCAAAGGAGTTCCTGCTACAAAAAGAGTCCTGTGTGTGAAAACTTCATTGTGGTTATAGATGGAAAAGTGAATATGACCTCGCGCACTTCCCTCCCTCAGAGGCAGAATTTTTCCTCCATTTTTTCTCTCCCTTTCTGACTGAGCAGCCCTTTTTATCTAGTTTCTTCTTCTCTGAGGATCTATGGCCATCCCACCCCGTCACAGTATGATAATTTGCTGCTGGCTCAGCCCAGGAACCTGATGTTACCCAAAGTAGGCAGTCTCCACTTAATCTGGGGTAATTTGCTGCAGACAGAGCAAGAGTTGGGTAACTGGAATCTCCACCTATGTATATTTATCCCTATGAGAAACTCTCTAAAATAACCAGGCAGATGTTAAACCAGTAGGGGTTTTATTAAAAAATTAAAACAAGGGTAAAGTTAAAGGTTCCCTTGCTCGAAAGCCAGTCAAATCCGACTCTAGGGTTGCAGTGCTCATCTCAGTTTCAAAGCCAAAGAGCCAGCGCTGTCCGAAGATGTTTCGGTGGTCATGTGGCCGGCATGACTAAACACCAAGGTGCACAGAACGCTGTTACCTTCCCACTGAAGTGGTACCTATTTATCTACTTGCAATTTCTTGCTTTCGAACTGCTAGGTTGGCAGGGGTACACACACACAATAAACACACACAAAAGCTAACTAGAAAAAGCAGGGATGAACGGGGAAAGCTGTTTTGAGGAAGGGTGATCTTTACCTATTCTGAAGAGGTCTATGGAAGCAGCAGGTTGAGGAGGGAAATGGCCAACTTTTTGGGAAGCAAGAGAAAAAAGTCCCCCACACAAGTGGTGGTGTGCAGAGGATCTAAGAACACACCCACATAGCTGGGTAAGCTGGGTGACATATTTATAGGGGAAAACGTTTCCTGAGGCAGGTTGACTCACCACCAGTGGACAATGCGCTGATGGTTGTACTGAAGGTAGAGAAGAGGTGGGAGAGCTTTGATGGCTCTGCAAGCACCAGACAGGAGGAGTAATTGGGAAGGTGAATAGACTTAAGCACTGATTAATCGCTGCATAATCAAGGGTAATGGGTGCAGGGGGAGTTAGTATAGGGTGTTGATAGGATTATCCCCAGTGAATCAATAGGTCCTGGGTGACCCATTGTTCTAAACTCATGCATCTCTCCAGGGCAAGGAGGGGGTAGTAGTCAGCCAGCACTCTGACTCACATCTTGAAAACTGTTTTCCCAGGCTGATGCCTGGCTGGCATCCATCTTGGTCCACTTTGGCCCAAGCAGTGCCCTGTAAACTGCCCCTCTGTGGGAGGAGGGGCCTGACTGCTAACACTGAGGGAAGGGACAAGATCACCCCTTTAATTTAAACTACTGAAATGGCACACAAGTGGCTTTTTAAAGTTCAAAAATAACAGAATATTTTATTCAATGTAGAGGCGGAAAGGTCAGGTGAAAGCAGGGGTAAAATGTCTGAGGTAAATCAATAATGACCCCCGAAGTAAATCAGTATAGGCACAAACTACAGGTCATATGTTTCAAGCAACTGAGAGTTTCTTAAGCTTTTCATACAGTCTTAGAATGTTTACGATAAAAAGCTTTTGTTCCAGTGTTTCCTAAACAGTATACTTTCTTGAGCTTAACTGTCTCCAGGCAGTTCCACAGCAGCTGGCTGGGGAAGTGAAGACAGACCAGGGAGGCATTTAAAGATGCCTCCCTGGTCTGTTGTCCCCTCCCTCCCTGATTTGGGGAAGGGCACCTGAATAAAAGATGAATAAGATTGGATTTTATTCGGGAGCACCTTATTGGTAGCCAAATCAGATGAGAAAATCTGATTTGGCCGAATACATACCTGAAAAATACCAATAAGGTATTGGGGGGGGGATTTATTCCATTCGGCAAAGCCAAATGCACACCCCTAATCCCGAGTCCTCATCTATACCTCAAACTATGTTATGATGCCTCTGAAGGAGATTGGAGACTCAGCAGCAGAACTTCTAAAGAGAAAATTAACCTGAATCCTCACTTCTGCATTCAATCTCATATGTAAGTCACCTTGCTGGGAGCTGGCTACAGCGTTCAGAGATGACATTCAAGCAAGAACAACGTTCACTTTCTCCATAAAAACCCCAGGGGAAAAGAGAAGTGTGATGAACACTAACGTTATTTACTTTATTATACTTTGGAAATTCATCTCCCCATCTTTGCCTTGGGATTCATATCTGTATCTTCTGCTCTATGCTCTCTGATAACACTACTCTTCCCTTCTTGTGTTGTAAGCTTGCTGGCAGCGGTAAACTACTCTAAGTACATCCAGCATCATCAAACTGGCCAAATAATATCCAGGAAACATGCATGCCAAGAGTGCCCTGTATAAATATCTTTATCAAATGAAGTCAATAATAAACCCAAAAGACAAGAACACACCTTTAGAGTGTGAGATATAATCTGTTTAGATACTTAACCACATTTCTCTGCTCTCTTCAGAATCTAATTTCATGACTGAACAGAGGAAGGCCTTCAACGGGTATGTAAGTTACATCAATTGGAAATAATAAAGATTCTTGTTTTTTTTTATAAGAAGGACCATTAGACATAAGACACAAAGGATCAGTAACCTTCTCATTAACCTCTCAAAATGGGATCCATTCCAAGCCAAGCTTGAAAATGTTTTCTCTCTGAAAACTACCATGCAGTCTTAACAGTTAATTGTTATCCTTATCAAAGAATGACCCACATTAACATTTAGCTTGGGGTTATTAGCATATTTATATAAAAAAGAAAAAATAGAAGGTGACCAATAGTGTTCTTGTTGCTGCCCTTAAGGAAAAAGGGAGAAGAAGAAACCAGAAAGCACATATTTATAAAAATAAATAAATGTTGTCAATCTGTACATAAATATTCTTCAACTGGAGCTTTACAATTGCTGATTAAATCTGAGCTTCTTTTAGAGACAAGATGGTTTGTGTTATCATAGTTCTCTTTTCCTATGTAAATAGCATTAAGCTAGTTAACAGAGACCACTGGATGGGTCTAAAGGTCACATACGATCATCTTATTTTAGTACATTGATATTAATGAAAACAGCAAAAGACTTTCCTTTAGTTCCATGGGACAGCATTTTTTCCCTTTTGGATGACATCATGGGCAGCATTCTCATATTGTGATATATGAATGACTTTTGAAGGCATTGGAATTTAGGATGTGCTGCATAGCTTGGCAGAAATTCAAAGTACTTCTGAGCACAGGGAACGTGTGCCAACCCATGGGTAATACAGTCAATTTAGCTCCTGACCTCACACTTGTCTGCCTAGAGATGTGTGTGCATTAAATAGCCAATGGAAAGCATTCTTTGGGCTACCCATACCTACTGTAGTTAAAAATATCTCCAAAAACCTAATTTGCAAATAATATTTTAGAAAGTTTTTCAAAGAAAATTGATTTTCTTCATATTGCAAATAACAAATAAACATCCTATCATGTGAATTTGCTCAGTAAATGTATCAAGAGATACATTTTACACCACATGGTACCCCCTTTTCTAGAGTATGTAGTGATTTCAAATGCACACAATAGGCCACACAATACTGAACCCTGCATTTTTTTGCAAGAACATACTTCAATTGTAATAAGTTGACTAGGTGTTTAAGAACATCTTTCCACATTAGCAATAGGCACATAGGTATTCAAGCATACAATCAATGTCGATAGCAGGGTATGTTCCTGTGGCAGGCACTAGAACATATGTTTCCCTGCCAGGGAGGTGTATATTTTCACTTTAATGATAATGTGCAAAACTGAAGAATGTGATATTGTTTCCTTTTCTTCTTCATATTGTTAACATCCACAGATACTTAAAACATTGGTTATTAGTATGGAGCCTGATCAGAATGCATACCAAAGCTTTGATATGCAGAAGAAGAAGAAGAAGAGATTGGTTAAGAATGTGCAGAGGACCCCACGTGAACAGGGATCCCTACTTTCTTCTGTATTGGAACTGTGTGTGTTCAGCAACATCTCTTCAGAGAGATGTGATCAGTGGTGACCCATCACAGGGTATTTTCCAATCTGTAAGGAACTACCTGTGGAATTAAGGACAAACCCTCACTGTGTGTTTGGGAGAGCCTGTGAGGCAGTTTTAATTCAATGGACTTTTAGCTGAGTTGTGTTGTTATTGTGATGGCTTTAAACTGATATTTGTTGGTGTGATATTTTTCTGGTTTTAATATCTATGCTCATGAAATATTTAAACAAAAACATATAATGCAATATGGAAATATAATAATTAAAAAACACCAACCCAATACAACAATGAAAATACAGATTTATCTATTGTACCAGAAATAAAAGTAAGATCTTTTAACAGGATGCATTTTGCGTAGCATCTAAAAGATAGTTATGATGCCTATTGTCTAGGTAGAATATCCCATAATCCAGGTGGCACTAAGAAAAATTTATTTGTTGGTGTGATATTTTTCTCGTTTTAATATCTATGCTCATGAAACATTTAAACAAAAACATATAATGCAATATGGAAATATAATAAAAAAGCAAAAAAAAAACCCAATACAACAATGAAAATACAGATTCATCTATTGTACCAGAAATAAAAGTAGGATCTTTTAACAGGATGCATTTTGCATAGCATCTAAAAGATATTTATGATGCCTATTATCTAGGTAGAATATTCCATAATCCAGGTGGCACTAAGAAAAATTGCTACCAGTAGCTACCCATAGTTCTGATATGTTCATGGTTGTCAGTTCCAGTTAATAAGCTAGCTACAATACTCTGCACCAGGTGAAGTTCCTGAAGATTTTTCTACAGCAATCCCATGTACTAACCACTTCAATGAACTAGATGTTACTTAAGCATGGATAAATGGGCAGATCAACTATTTCCACGAAAGGATGCTATAAACTACAAATATAACTTGTGTGTATATATCAGCAGTCCTAGATCTAAAAGCTCTCACAAGATGCAAATCTGATCCTTTAAGGAGTGAAAACCCATCCACATAGGCTTACCAACTCTAGGTTAGGAAAGTCCTGGAAATTTGGCAGTGGAGCCTGGGAACAGCAGGGTTTGGGGACGGAACCCTGCTGGCAGTGGCCTCCAAAGCAGCCATTTTCTCTTGGAGAACTGATCCTTCCTGCTGGAAATCAGTTGTAATTCCTGGAAATCTCCAGGCCCCACCTTTTGTGGAGACTTCAGCACAGGCCTCCCTATTTCCAAACCGATACTCTAAGTTTTATATCTCATTATCTAAGGCTCTGGAGGCCTAAATGAAGGATGGACCTCGGCCAGTATCTCCAGGCTGTGGTCACATAGCGGAGGATTAACAAACTGAAGTTTAATCCAGACAAGATGAAGGTAATGGTGGCTGGGAAGACAGAATGTTAGGTCTGTGTTGATTTACCAAACTTAGGCCCCGGTCACACGAGAGGTTTTGGGCCGGGAGAGAGATGGATGGGGGGCGGAGCAAACGGGCGCGATCCCACTGCAACATCTGGGAAGCATTGCGCACCCGTCCCCGATCCGGCCCTTCCGCCCAAAACACCGCGGCAAAAATAAACCACCTACCGAGGTGGTTCTTCCAGCAAGTCCGCATCAAGGCCGGCCGTGGCTCCTGGCCGAACTGCGCATGCTCAGACATGCGCAGTTCAGCAGCCTCCCCCTCCCAACCGTGGCTTCCTCCCCGGCATCTGATCGTGCCGGGGAGCAACGGCGCTGTGGCTCAGGGGATCCGTGGAATCCCACCGCGGTGTCTCTATTTTGGTGCAGCTCTGATTAGCCGCACTTTGCCCATGTTTTGTTCTACCGTGTGGCAGGGACCTTAGATAAGGTTAAAGTTTCCATAGTGGACCAAAGTCACCCTTGGATATTAATAAAGCCATAGACTCCACCCTCCAAACCAACCATTCCCTTCTGGGGAACCATCGTTGCCAATCTCCAGGTGAGGGCTGGAGACCACTCAAAATTACAACTGTTCTTTAGGTAGCAGAGATCAGTTCCTCTGGAGAAAATGGTGGACTCAGTGTCATTATACCCTGCTGAGGTCGCCACAGCAAATTGACAGAGTGTCCAAGGCCGGGGCACTCGCCCAGAGCCTCTTTCTAGAAGCCGTTGTATTTATTTCCACAACGAGCCTTTTTCCTAGTAATCTAAAAATACGGTTTCCTCTCTTGTCTCTTGTCATGTCTGCCAGTAATCTATATAGATACTATTAGCCACATTTCGTAGAGAGCCTGTTTGGTGTAGTGGTTAAGTGTGTGGACTCTGATCTGGGAGAACCAGGTTTGATTCCCCACTCCTCCACTTGCAGCTTCTGGATGATTTTGGGCAGGCCATAGTTCTGACAAGAGCTGTCCTTGAAAGGGCAGTTCTTGAAAGAGCTCTCTCAGCCCCACCTACCTCACAGGGTGTCTGTTGTGGGGAGGGGAAGGGAAAGGGAAAGGAGTTTTTAAACCACTCTGAGACTCTGAGTGAAGAGCAGAGTATAAATCCAATCTCTTCTTCTTCTATTAATATTTCACGTTTCCCATGTCACTGTGAGGCTTTCATTAGTGAGGGGATATCAGAGTTATACAGTGTTTTAGTTTTGTTTTCTTTCAAAAATGAGCAGTCTGATGTGATAATCCTCATGGCTAAACAAAAGATGGTTTCCCAATATGAACACTCTGTTATGCCTTCAGGTTAATATTAAGTGAACTTTCTTCCTTTATAACATACAATCACTTATTTATGTCCATGATTTTTCAAAAAAACCATGCGCTCAAGTAAATTCTCTCTCGCTTTCCACAACACACAAAGGTCTTTTAAAAGTAAAATTTGCATGGAAATGATTTTTGAATAGCCTTTTAACTGAGGACTTTTGAACAATCAAATAATTATTTGCATGTTTCAACCTTTGCAAGCAGACTAGTCCAGTGTATACATAACACAAACTGAACAGTTGTTTGAATCATCATAAAATGCAACCTTAGAGTCAGAACTTACATTCATCTCATTTTACAATGAATAGTTATCATGGTTAGACAGGAGGCAATATTTTGGTGGCACTGAACAGATATTTTAGTGATACCTTGTTGATCCTTTCTTCTGTTTGGAGCTAAGCCGAAATAATACATGCAAATGTTGGATTCAGTTTTGCATAAGGCAAGCAACTATTCACACGAAACAGTGCCCAAAAGATCCTTGCTTCACATTGTTTTTTAAACAACTGATCAGTATAATCAAAAGCCTTGAAAATTCAGCTGAGTTATCTACTTGGACTATTAGGAATCACTAAGGCTGAAATACTACAGAACCCATTGGCTGTTCTTCTTCCTCTTTGTACCCACTAGTCAATGAAGTACGTGAAATGGTACAACTGGCGGTGAATTTCCTGCCCCAGCTCCTTTTCTTTAGCTGCCACAGATAAGGATAGGGAATGTTACCTTGCAATGATATCATGTTACACATTTGGTTTTACTAGACATTATTGTGTTAGAAGATATGTGGATTTAGGGTTGCCAGATCCTCCGTGGTCAGTGGTAGGGGATGGGGGGAAGGGCTGTGAAAAGTATGCAGGCGGAGAGTGATTTCAGCTAAGCATACTTTTATTTAGTTCCGAACAAAAGACAACAGACCGGCTCGCAGGCCGGTTTATATTCATTCAGAAAACCCGCCACCAAGCTCACCTAAACACACACCCTACTCCAGATAGGCTATTTAAGTAACTGAGAGACCCATTGGCCTCCCGGCTTGGGACCTAGCCCTTTCATTGGGCCGGCTAGGATCCTACGGACCCATTGTCCTTAGACTTGAAGCTGTTGAGGAATTGTGCCTGGCCAGCCCGGGCAAGTCCGGGCATGTCAGGCTGAATACATTACAGGCTGACAGATCCAGGTTGGGAAACTCCTGAAGATTTGGGGATGGAGCCTAGGGACCTCAGTGGGGTACACCACCATAGAGTCCACCCTGCAAAGCATCCATTTTCTCCAGGGGAACTGATCCCTGTAGACTGGAAATGAGCTGTAATTCTGGAGGAATCCCCTTGTCCCATCTGGAGGCTGGCATCCCTACATGTATTCTCCACAACATTTACTTCAGGCTTGATATTGTGTCTCCCCCTCCTTTTTAGCACCCAAATTAATTCTCAAGTTCAAAGTCTGAGGAATGTATATTTTGTATTTATACAAGCATACAGATATCTATATGAACTTTATGAAACTATTTTGTTCTGTATAATAATCTATAACGAGGTGGCAGGGAAAATTAAAATGTTGAATTTAAAATAAATGCTTATTTTGTTACTGTCCTTATATTTCTGAGTGACAGAAACATTTCATAGATGAAAACAAGGGCACACCTATGTACAAGTACCTGGGTGAATCCAGGAATGAAATACAGCA